TGTCCGGAATGGCGTCTTTCAGCCAGGTTTCTGTGAAACACAGAGCAGCAGAGTTTGAAAAATCCTTATTTGTCCGGGAGAGCAGAAGGAGCTCGTCCGTTTTGTTGGGTAGAGAGCGGAGGTTTGCCAGATGGATGCTAGGCAACGGTGTCCCGAATCCGCGCTGTCTGAGCTTCACGAGCGCGCCGGCTCTCTTCCCCCGTCTGCGCGTCCTGAAGCGTTTGATCAGCGCCGCAGCTCCCCCGACTACAATGTCCAGCAAAACATCAGAATAGTTGAAAACCGGTGAAATATCGGGTGGTGTATACTGCCGAATGTTCAGCAATTCGTCTCTGGTGAAACTGATTGCAGGGATATAACTAAAGACAGGACAAACTAACAAAAACATAAAAACAACTGTGGAGCACGCCACGGAGGCAGCCATCAGCGTCGGCGCCATCTTCGACGTGTGTTTTGCTTCTTGTGTTTCTATGCCCATATTTGGTCCTTCCCGTACCCCTACTACCCCCCCCAAAAAAAATCCTTGGGGGGAATATCATCTTTAGAGGCCCTCCTTGGGCAGGACATGGGGACTGGAGCCCTCCTTGGGCTTGACATGGGAACTGGAGCCCTTTCTGGGCTAAACTCGGGGACTGGAGCCCTCACTGGGCTAAACTTGGGGACAGGGGCCCTCTCTGGGCTAAACTCGGGGAATGGAGCCCTCTCTGGGCTAAACTCGGGGACTGGAGGGTCCTGGCGTGGGGTGAGCTGGAGAGGCCCAGTGATTTTCGGGAGGGACTCGATTTATTGTGAGGGAGCGCGGAGCGAGGAACGAGGAGAGCAAGGAGACTTTAATGACATCAAGGGAACCAGGAAAACACACGTAGCAGAGGAGGATGGCATTACAATACCGGACCCAGAACTAAGAACAGGAAACACTTTATATAACCAAGACATGGGGATGACGAGACACACCTGGGATCAATAGAACTGAACTGGGAACACCTGGAACAAATGATAAGGACAGGAACGGGAAGGACCAAATATGGGCATAGAAACACAAGAAGCAAAATACACACAAAACACGGAACAGAGTCTGACATGTGTTAATTTTTAATAAAAAAACAAAACATAATTATAAATTACATAAGTATAACTCGTTAAATTAAAATTCACTTCATTCAGCAGAGGTAAATCAGGTTTGATTCATCACATTAGAGGCTCTGAATTTAGCGAGCATTTTATTTGATGCCGCAGCTGCGCGAGAGAAAACACATTGAGAGACAGAGGAGATGGTCACGGAGGAAGCAGCGCGGCTCTGAAATAACGGAAGATGGAGAGGAGCTTCAAAAGCTGAAAATCTGAATCTGGTTGGTCTGAGATATGGAAAGAGATGCATGGAATGAGGAAACAGATTTATATAATCACGCCAACCAGCATGAAGGAGTCGAGGTGGAAGATTGCCTGATCAAAGACGAAGACAGTCTTGAAAATGTGCAGACGCTGAGAAATATATCCTCACACAGGAACTTCACAGGAATCAGAAAATAAGCCGGCTACAGAAATACAGTGACATCTGAAACGGTTTCAATCCTGAAGACGATCAAGACTGCATCTGTGGAGGTTGTGAAAGTGGACTGTCGATTGCCTTTTTGGCAACATCAGCGATACGCAGAGAAATAAGCAAAATCCAAACCCTGAGGCGACTTTGTAAAAGTGCATTAATGGAAGAAAGAGACAAAAGAGTCAGGAAGAGGATACTGACCCTCCATGAAGTACAAGCTGGCATCGATTCTCCACACGATCTGGCCTTTGTGGGAGCCGCTCACGCCACGACTCTTATAGTCCAGAAAGTTTTCTGACAGAACCTCGTCTGTGAAAGAAAGAGAAATAACAGCAGAAGGTTGTTTTCTCTTGTTCTGCCTCCATTTCAAGGTCAAATAATATGCTACGCTTGCAATAAAACTATTTTAAGTCATTACATTGCTAAGGGCATGAGAAACAAATGGGATTTATTTTAATAAGATATTTTACGTCCTCTGTAAAGGGCATCAGGACTCATTTATTAAGAAAATGAAAAGACACTATAATTTTTTAGGTTCCAGGCTATTTGTTTGAACAAAACTTTGTATAAAGGTACTTCCAGTTATATTATGAAATATATTACCGAACGATTAGATATACTATTTTATACCCATAAATGGGTTTTCCCATTCTATCACATTCAATCTAATTTGCATATTAATGTGTTCTATTGAAAAAAGTGTAATAATTTTTAAAATAATATGAATATTATGAATAATATAATAAAATAATATTATATATATATATATATACACACAACTAATAATGTGAAATATTATTACAATTTAAAATAACTGTTTTCTGTATTAATATATTTTAAAATGCAAATATAGCTGATTCTGATTTGCTGCTCAATTTAATTTAAAGTATTATTGGCGCTTAATTATTAATAATGGGTTCTTTGATGAATAGAAAGTTCAAAGCATTTATTTGAAATAGAAATCTTCTGTAACATTATGAATGTCTTTACTGTCACTTTTGATCAATTTAATGCAACTCTTCTGAATAAAAGTGTTAATTTAGTTTTTATTATTATTATTTTTAATCTTACTTAACCCCAATCTTTTGCAATGTAGGATGGTTTCCACAAAAATATTGTGCAGCACAACTGTTTTCAACATTGATAATAATCAGAAATGTTTATTG